TAAAGCGATTGGGGATCCCTGAAATGAAAGAGACTATTCACAATCCCCAGAGCGTTGTTATTATCAGCAGTCTGAATAATCTGTTTTGTTTTGGGTTTTTTAAGGAAGCCATTATTATCGAGTACCTACTATGTGGCAGGTGTATTCACATACTTGATCCGATTTAATGCTTTTAATCACCCTATGTGGTAGGTTTGTGTTTTCTGCCTTTTTTGTCTTTTTTTTTTTTTTTTGTAATCCTCTCTGTACAGATGAGAAAACCAAATTCAGCAAAATTAAGTCACTTTTTTATAAAGCGGCAGAGCCAAAATTCAAGGCTAGAACTTTCTTAGTGTGGAGGTCTCTCCCTTTCATCCCGCCAACTCTACCTCTTCCAGTCTTCCCTTCGGAGTCTTTCTGCATTTAAAACAAAAGTTCATTCAAGGATGCCTATGGCTTTTCTCTTTTTGTATGTCTTTTTTTTTTTTTTTTTTTTTTACTGAAGTATATTTTGCAATCCAATGAAATGCACATATCTAAAATTTACAAGGCAATGCATTTGGACAAAAACATATAACTCTGAACACACACCTCTATTAACACAAGGGATATTTCTAACACCCTAGAAAGTTCCCTGGTGCCCCTTCATTCACAATGCCTTTTTAAAAATGCAACGAAGAAAACGAATTACTTTTCTTTGACCAAAACAATTTTTTCGTGACTTAGGCAGTGGGGCTGTGCCCATGGGGTCAACCCCTGAGGTGGGAACACTGAATTATTTGATGTTGGAATTATCGGGAAGTGGGACCCCGTTAAACGTCTGCATGCACCCTGCTGGCTCCATCCACTGAATGCACTGGGACCAGATGATGTGGATGAGACAGAAATAAGAGCTGCAATTGTGTCTGGATTATCCTAACTGTCACCATGTTGGCCTCTATCATGTGTCAGGCACCAGACTGTAATACCCTTATATACGTTTAATCCTCATAATTATTACTTTGATTTTACAGCTGAGGACACTGGGGCTCAGAGGGGTTAGATAACGTACCTAAGAATAGACAACGAGAAAATGGCAGCCTCAAAATTCAAATCCAAGAGGCCTGACTTCAGAAGCCTTTACAGATGTTAATGGGCAAATGTTAAATCCCAAAGATCTAATGGGCTGGTTATATTCATTCAACAAACAGTACTCAGCATCTACAAAGGGCTAGGTGTTGTGCTGAGTGATACAGAAGGAGGTACACAGATGAGTAAGACACAAGCTTGCACAGGAGGTGCCACAGTATGACGGGAAACACTTAAAACAGAGTCAGGATTCTCAAGGAATGGGGAAAGGGCTGGGAAAGGGCAGCCAGGTACGGGCAGTGGGGGAGGGGTTTCAACAAGGAAGGCCTCACACAGAAGCCAGAAAGATCATTCTGGAGCCAAGTCTTCAAGGGTGAGTGGGAACGTGCGAGCTCAGAAGGGGTTTAAGATAATATGACTAGTGCGTACGCGAGCATGGTGAAACACTCTGTCCATTCCTTATTTATTCAATAGCCAGCAAAATCAACCAAGTCAAAATTTAAAAGCAACATTCACTGGGGTCCCCAACTCTTCAAAATGAATAAAAATCAACACTTAAAAAAAACAGCTCTAAAAAGTAAAACAATCACCACAAAGTTCACACCCTAAGCCCATGCCTGTGATTTTTTTAAAGTGATCAAGCCCTCATTTCGAGCCAATTATCTTTTGTTTTCTGAGTTGAGTCCCACATGACTAGTTTCATGATTCCTCAAGCCTGGGCAGTAAATTGGAAGGGTGTACAGGTGCAGAGATGGCAGTCAGAAGGGGCAACCAAGGAAGGAAAAAAAAACACTTGAAAAGATGATTAAAGAAACTCACAAATCAATAGCTTTCAAGACATCACTGTATAATATAGTACAACAGCTTGCTCAACCCAACAGACATCTAATAAGCTCCAGCTGTGTAGCAGGCGCTCCCTTAGTCTTGGCAGGGGATGTGAAAATGTAAAATCTGGTACTCCCCAGTTCAGTTTGGTAGAAACAAAAAAGAAAAAAGGTGTGTAAATTGAGACAGGAAGAATGTCAGGTTGGGAAGGGTCTCTTCAACTGTGCAGGTAATGAAGGGCAGAAAGGGTGGCCTGAAAACAGGGAATTCATCTGTCACTAAAGAACAAGAGACTTAAGCAAGATACTTGTTTCCCATGTCTCAGTTTCCCCTTCTGTATAATGGGGGATAATAGTAGTCACTTTTTAAGGCAATGTTGAAGATCAGATGGGCCAACATATAGAGTAGTGTTGGATGCATGTTAGTTGTCATTGCCTCCGTCCCTACTTCCTCAGTCCTTAGATTTAGTAAATGCTCAATAAATACTGCTGAACAAATGAATTCACAAATGAATGGCTAAGTGATGCTACTGAGTCAAAGGGGAAAAAGTTGATTAGGTAAGGCCTGAGCTCTTTCCTTAGGTTTGCAGATCAGAAAGACTGCCGTGCCAGATAAGTTTAAGAAATAGGCCTGTGTTTAACGTGTATTTCAGATACCTGAGAAATTAATCGCTCACTCCTTAACTCTACTGCATCGATGACCTGCCATTTTAAACAAGCCCGAGAGAAAAAGATGAGGCATCACAATGAAATTAGAGTATATCTCTTACTAAGAGATGGCTGAAGGGGCCCTGAAACCCAGGAGTTAAGCTCTGTGGTGTGGGAGAGGCCGGGATGACAGCAAACCCCAACCACCACACGCTCACCCTGCCCAAAACCAAGGCTGTGGGCTTCTCCTTCCTTAAATTATACTTACTCCAAAAAGAATAAACACAAACACTGTCTTTAAAAGATGTTAAAGATCATAAAAGTAAAACCAGCTAGGAAAAAATATAGAGGCAACTAACACAGGGAGCTACAGGAGGACCTGAGGAAGTCTTACAGACCTCCACCCTTATTTTACAGACATGGAGACTGAGGCCCAGGGGAGGAAAGTGAGCCACCCGCAGTCGTAACTTAAAGAGAATGGCAGGCAGTGGTAAAGCCGGGTGCCCAGATTCCCAAACTGGAGCCTCGTAAGGGGACTGCTCCGTTCTGCCAAAGGAAACATTGAGGGAAAAATAAGAGGAGGTGCCAGCTCCAGCACGGGATAAGGGCTGGGGAGAGGGCTGGGTAGGGGGTTGGGGTGGGGGGGGGGGCGGCCAATAAGAAGTAAGGACTAAAGAACCTTTGTGCCGGAGTAGGTAAGAACAAGGGCGATGGGCACCCGCAGTGGGAAGAAAATTTAAGCTCCTCTGAGCTTCTCGTGGGGGTTGGATTCCAAAGGAGGAATAATCCAGTCCAATCCAAGCTCCCGGTTTTTGTAGGTGTATTCAACCCCTTCTACAGAAGCACACACAAAGACCAATGCCTTCTCCCCAGGTGTTTTCCTCTGGGTCAGGATTTCTCGGGGGTGAGCGAGGTAAGAGGGGCAGAGCGAAGACTCGAAGGTACCCTTTCCGAAAGGATTGCGCCCTCGACTGGCAGGAGAGGAGGAAAGGCTCTTGCAAAGGCTTAGCGAAGAGTCTCCGGGGATCTACGCGGAAGTCAGGACCCCGCCCTCCCCACCTCCTTTGCTCCTTCCTTCCCCTCCCCCAACGATGATCAAAGCCAGGTGAAGGGACCGAGAGCTGAGGGTGGGTTTCCGAAGGGCTTTTACAGGAGCCGGTCGCCCCGCACGCCTGCTCGCTCCTGCGCGCATTCACGGACAGGCACACTTTTAGACACACGTACGGCCGCGCACACGCTCACGCGCAGGCAGACTCACACGCGTGCACACACTGATATGCACACTATTGGTACCCCCAGGGGCCCGGCCGCGCCCGCCTCATCTCTCCTTCAGCCCCGGGAAACGGACAGGCAGCAAAATGAATGAAATCGGCCCAGAAAGACTGCATTTCAGCTCCAACCACGCAACCTCCGGCCAAACCGCCGAATATAAAACAAAGTTTTATTTCGCTTTTAGACTCTCCAGTTACGCTGCTACCATTTCCTGCGGAAAATTGAAGCTTTGAAGTGTCTAGCTCCGGCTCGCGCAGACAGGGCCGCCAGCTCGAGCTCTCGAAAACCAGAGGCCCCCCCGCCCCGGCCCACCCCCTCCGCCACCAGAGCGGCAGGTTCAGTCCCACCCAGCTCCTTCCTCCAAAACAGGGCGGGGGGAGGAGTGCAGGGAGGAGGACCGAACCTGCTGGAAACGACGCCCCACGCTGACTATCCCCTCCAGAACCCCGCCCCACTCCCATCCTGCCCGGGTCCCTGGTGGCGCTCCTTAAGCCAAGTCTTAAGAGCTGCGGCTTCTGCCACAGGGCACCAAAAGCGGCAAGAACGGGAAGGTCGGAATTGGGAAGAGGGATGTTCACTGAGCAGCACCCACCAGCCCTGAGCTCTGGGCCTTAAAAACTGCTCCGGAAAAACTTGAGACCTGTAAGTCTTCTCGCCCCACCTTCTCACCGCACACACCTCTCCCCTACTGTCTTTATGACTAGCGAGCTCTCAAATGTTCTGCCCTTCTGGCCCTGGGGCCTCTCCACCCCGATTCTGACAGTGACCCCCTCAGGGCGCGGGGAAGTACGCGAACCGAGCCGCAAAGGAAAGAATGCGCCTCCTCGCGAATTCCAGGGGGACAAACTCGTGCGCCGGAGAATTTAGTATCTTCAAGGTCACAAAAACAGGGCTCTGGCAGAAATATGTGCTAAACGCAAATGATCGCAAACCTTTCCGCCCCGCAAAAGGGTGTTCAGTTCTTCCCACAGTTTGCAAGAGGCAGCCGCCGCCCCGCCCCGCACTGGGGGCGGAACCGCGCGCTCCCGGACTTGGAACCTTAGGAGCCTGAGCAGTGAAGGGAACAGGCGGTTTCCGGCCACCTCCAGCTCAGCGGTCCCCTCAGAAGCTTGGGACGGCAGCGGGTGGCCGGAAGACGCGGGAGGGGAACGCGAGGCAAACTTGCCAAGAGAGTTGGCCATGTTGAGTGGCACTCGCACGGCCACTTACCGCTGGCGTTCTTCCCGCAGATGAGGTGCTGGTAGGGCTGCAGCAGCCCCCAGATCTCGGAGTCGTTGTTGACCGTGTGCTCCAGCGTCTCCACGGTGAACTTGGGCGCCTCGTGGAGTGTGTGGTGGTGGTGATGGTGGTGGTTGGCTGCGGCGGCGGCGGCGGCGGCCGGCGGGGCTGCGGCGGCTGTGGCAGTGGAAGCCGGCGGGGCGCAACAGCTGCTGCCCCCGCTGGCGCTGCTGGCTGCGCTGCAGGCGCCGCCGCTCGCCGCGCCCCCTCCGGGTGCCTCCCGCTCCTTATCCGCCACGGGGGCCGCATTGGGGCCCGAGCCCGGGCCTGGGCCAGTGCTGGAGCCCGAGCTGGGGCCGCTGCAGCTCCGGGGCAGCCCGGAGGCCACGACCCGCGCGTAGATGTCCCGGAAGAGGCTCTCCATGCAGGCCGTCAGGTAGATGGCGGCGTGCTCGTGGATGCGCAGCGCCACGCGGCTGTCCACCATCCAGCGGTACACGCGGCCCACCGAGAAGGTGAGGCCGCAGCGCGCCGACTTGCCGCGGCCCAGGCGGTCGCCGCCGGCACTGCTCATATTGTAGAGGGACAGTGCGGCCAGCGCGGCCGCCGTGCAGTGCGCCGCCAGGCCCCAGGACAACACGATCTCCATGGCGCTCTGGATTTCGTACTTGGTGCACTTAGCGAAGCGCAGGCTCAGGCGCTGCGCCTCTTTGGCGATGCGTACAAGCGCCCGGCTCACCAGCATCGACAGCTTGGCTAGCGCGTCTTTGGGCAGGCCGCCGGGGGCCGCCGGGCCTGCCCGGGGATCCCGCGAGCGCAGCAGCAGCGCCTCCAGCTCCTGGAGGGTCCAAGGGACCTCGTCAAGGTCCGGCAGCAGCCGCGAGCAGTGCTGGCCGGCGCAGTCCAGCCCCTCGGAGTCTTCCACCAGGGCAGTGTTGACGGTGTCAAAGCTGTTGTGCCGGCTGTGCATGGAGTCAGCTAGAGGCGGCCAGCAGCTCCCGCCATACGGGGACGCCGGGTGTGAGTCGGAACAGCACAGGGACAAGTTGGAGGAGCGCACCGAGTCCGCCGCGCCACCATAACCCGAGTCCAGCGTCAAATCCTCCAGCGTTCGCACTACGGGCTTCTTACCTCTCCTTGCCATCGCTGCGCCACTTCATACTGCGGCCGCCGGAGAGCCGAGGGGAAGGAGCAGTGAGAAGCAGCAGGCGCGGAGGCGCGGGGAGAGCCGAGTCCGCAGCGACTCGGCTTACTTTTCCACCAGCCACTACTACCAAGTGTTACTACTTTCGGCTGCCTCCCCGAGCCGCCGCCGCTGGACTACACAGGGCAGACCCCGGAGTCATCTTCCAGAGCCCGGGCCGGAGCTGGGACGCATTGAAGAGCGGGCCAGGCCGGGAGGGAAACTCACGCTGGGACTTGCCCCTTCCTTCCAAAATAAAATAAAAAGTATCTGACCCTTTCCTTCCTGGGTCTGGCTGGGTGCACAAGCCACAGGGCTCCCGCCTCAGTATTCGTAGGACGGAAATAGACTTAGATGCCGCCGCAACAGCAGCAGCTCCGCGGGCGGCTGGCTCTCAGCTCCCGGCTCTTGATTCCCAGATCCCCGCCCGGGGTTCACTCGGCGCCCGCCCGCCCCGCACTGAAGCGCAGCAGCGACCGCGGCGGCTGCAAACCCTGCCAAACCCCGCAAACCCGAAGCAGTCCGCGGGGCGGGTGTATGTAAAACAGGACCCGAGGAGAGCCAATGGGATCATAGGATGCTAATTACCTCGAGCTTTTTTTTTTTTTTTTTTATTTCCTCAGCTCCGCACCTCCCCGCCCCTCACACGCCCCCAGGCTGTGATCAAGGCTGCAGGAAGTGGGGAGCTGCGGCCTGGGAATTGGGGGGCTCGTGCGAACGGTGGGACGCAGATACTTCCCTCCTGTCGCTGTCCCTACCCCTCAGACTCCCAGCTTTGGTACCAGAACCGGAAGGTGGTAGGTTGAGCAGGTGATTCCCCCCAACCTCCGACCGAGGTATGCTGTTTATACAGTGTCTGCCTGGGGTCGCTCTGTCTGCCGCTGCGTTTCGAATTTCACTTCCTTTTTTCTGCCCTTCACGTAGCAAGTATTTTCTCCCTCTCTCTCCTCCCCCACCACCCAAACCAATTAATGCGGGCCGCTTTCAGTCCCAGTTAGTCCTCGTGTGGAGGGAAATGAGACACCAGATGAGCTGAGGAGCCAGAACGATGACACCACTGGAAGGCCATATCTCTGGACATTAGCTACCTGCCACCAGGGGCCATTAACTAGGTGCCTTTCAAAAGTCAAGAAGATCCCGAGCCCATCCTTCAAACGCCTTGGGCGGGGTGAGCAGGCGGGGTTCGCTGGAGTGAAGGCTCCTGTCCCACTTTGCCGTCCTGGTGGGTGTGGTTCCAGGCCTCTAATTTGCACGGAGGAAAGGGAGTGACTTTTTGACTAAAGAAAGGTAAAACATAATTGCATGACTTGGCTGCATTTGTGTCAAATGTCAGTCTTGTTTGGCTCCACCCACCTGGGCAGAAACCATTGTCTTTCCCCACCCAGGGATTCCCAGCTCCAGCGCAGCATCTCTGCCTGGGATAGGGAAACCCTCTTCCTCTGGCTGGCTAGAATTTTCAGCTTAGGCGTCCCCTCCAGTAGGAAGAAAGCCCAAATCCCTCAATGCTGGCTTGGGTGCTTGGACTGATCCCCACCCCCAACCTCATCCCTTCTGAAACTATTGAATTCTGGGCCCTCCTTAACACTAAATTGTTTCAGTCTGATAACATGTCTAGATTGGACGTTGGACTAGGGAGTCTCCAAGCATAGGGTCTCAGTAAATATTTGTTCTAAATGGGTGGATGAAGGAAGAAAGGACATGCTTTTGAACTCTTGGTTTGAATGTTCAGCAATAGACTTTTCCCAGATAACTCTGTAGGGGCTCCCCACTGCCCTCTAGATAAATCAAGTTTGTACTGCTGTGCTGGCGTTCACTGATCTCTTTACTCTGTTCCCAGACTTGCTTTCGATAATATTCCAAACCTTTTAAAGGGATTGTGATGGTTAATTTCATGTGTTAACTTGAATGGGCCGCAATTGCCCAGCATAAACATTGTTTCTGGGTATGTCTCTGAGGATCTTTCCAGAAGAGATTAGCATTTGAATCTGCGGACTTGGTAAAACAGATTGCGCCCCCCCCCCCCGGCGTGGTTTTTCCCATCACTGATCGAGCTCGGACATCTCATCTCATCTCACCTCCAGCCCTTGGACTGGAATTGACGTCATCTGCTCCCCTGATTCTCAGGTCTTCGGACTTGAACTAAATTATACCACCAGTTTTTCGGGGTCTCCAGCTTGCAAATGTCGGACTGTGGGACTTCTCAGCCTCTATAATCCCACTAGCCAATTACTCATAATAAAGCTCTATTTTTTTTTCTGTTTTTCCAGAGAATCAGAGCCAATAGAATATATATGTTTCTCTGGAGACCTAATACATACAGTCTTTGATGATCTGAACCCTACCTTTCTCTGCAGCCTCTCCATTATCACCCAGCCTCCTGAGTGTATATTCACACTCACATAGACACAGACACAGATATACTGACACACTTACACAGATACATGCACACCCATGAAAAAACACAGATATACTCACAGACCTACACAGGTAACTGCACACCCATGAAATGAACACACAGACACACCCAGCCACACGCACCCTGTGCTCTAGCTATACTGACATCATTTGCTGGTTTTCCAAGTTACCTTGTTGTCTCTTGTATCTGATAGGCCTTTGCAGATGTTGTTCCCTTTTCTCAGGACACTTGTCTTCCTCTTCTCTACCTGGCAAACTTCCCATCCTCTAAGATTCATCTCCAAGATTATCACCACTGTGAAGTTTTCCTCGATGTTGTCTGCTCTTCACCCATCCCAGGCCCAGGAAGGTGTCCCCATCTCTGTTGCTCAGAACCTTTATTCCTCTGCACGTTTTGCTGGGAGCTCATCCACTGGTGTGCCTTCAGTTACCACCTGTGTGCCGATAATGCGTGAATGACCGCCACTCAGCAGAGAACCTGGAAAAGCCTTCCTTTGCATAGGGGAAAAAAGAGACTGGAGTGCAGTGGGCTTAACATGTATTTATTTTCTTCCTTCGCACCAGGTCGACTTGGGTTCCAATACTGCCTCTGCCAGTTTTCGATCACATACCCAGTGTTCACTCCATCTCTGTTGTCCTCCCCTTTCTTGCTTTTGGAATGCAAAAAATAACCACACCCATGGGGGAGGGGTTCAATGAAACTTTTTCATACACAGGATTTAACAGTGTCCCACATGTGAAAATAACCCTATAAATGTCTGTTACCGTCATCTACATTTTTCTACTTTCTACAACAAACACTTATTTCTTAGACGGGAAAAAATGACAACTGTAACATATAAAACCCAACTTATGCCTCAATGCTGGGCTGCAATGCTATCTCCTCTAGGAGGTTTTTCCATACATCAGTAGACATGTCTTTCCTTTCATGCTTCAGATGTTAGGCACCTGCCTTCTCTCACCTTGCATAGGGCACATTCCTTGAAAGCTGAGATCTTGCCCCCAATACAGAGCCAGTACTAACGAGCATGTTCCTTACTATTGTGAATAACCAAAGCATATGTCCATTTAGTTTACTAAAAGAAATCATGAATGATAAGTGTCTGAGTTGGAGTGACCTGAAAAACACTGAAGATAATAAACACATTAACCAATTGTTAAATATTATCTCCATACTACTAGAAAACTCAGTGCCTGCCAAGTATGAAGAAGAAAATTTAAATCACCCAAAACTCCCCCTCACAGAAGTCATCAACGTTAAAAACTCCTTGAATTTTCCTCTAGTCTTCCTAATTTTTTCCTATCTTTTTTCTTCTAAGCACACATATCTTAAGTTGGAGTTATTCTGCAAATTATTTTGCATTTTAATTTTCTCCTCAAGAAATTTTCTCAAACATGATAGTATAATCATTCCCCGTGCTACTAAATATTCATCCAAAATATTCTGACATATGTTTATACATTAACTGGTGTATACTGAATCCCTGTTTGGTTGTTTCTGTTTTCAAACTGCTGTACTAATGCTGAGATGACCGTCTTTGTGCATAAATAACTCTTCTTCAAAACTAGAAGTCTTATGTATGTTATCCTCTAGAAAATACAGACACACAATAAACATATACAACAAATTTAAAAAAAAATTGCTGAGATTATTTTGCCTACCTGATTAGCAAAGATTTATAAAGTCAATCATGATGAATGAGTGTCATGAAGAGGCATCAATTGAGGCAATCTTTTGGGAAGGCAGGTTGCCAGTATGTATCAAAATGTCAGGATGCATTCCTTGTGATTTCCCAGAAATCACATCTTCTGATGTTATCCACAGTGATCCCTGTGAATTTTTCAAAAGTTTACAGGAAGCTCTTGGTAATGTTGTTTTAACATAGCACTTTGGGAAACAACCTCAGCGTCCTTCATTAAGGCCTGATGAAATGAATTATAGTAAATCATACGAGGGACTATAAAGCACTGGCAAAGAATAATGATGGTGATCTTTACTTTCACAACATGTTGATTAGGGGAGAAATTTTTGAAAATAGGTTTTGCAATTACACATATAATGTGATCCCATTTATGCAGAATGCTTTATGGACAGCTAAATATGTACACAGGTGTGCCTTGATTTATTGCTCTTTGCTTTATTGCACTTCACAGGTGTTGTGTTTTCACAAATTAAAGGCATGATCCTACAATCCTCCCCCACCACCAAAAAAAAAAAAAAGGATTACGACTTACTTTATTGTGGTTGTCTGGAAGCAAACCCACGGTATCTCTGAGATATGCCTGTAAAACATGTGAATTGCCTCAAATGATGAAAATAATAAGCTATAATTAGTTTGTTGGATTTCTGGTGATTTTTGAATGAGTTTTATTGATTCTAGTTCTATCCCCTGATGGGTTTTTTTTCCTTTTGTTTTCTGAGGATTTTTAATTTTCTTCTTTATACTTCTGAACTTTTTGTGATAAACAGGTATCATTTTTACCAGAGCCACGAAACTATTTTCAAGAAAATTAAATTATTTTCTACCCATTATTTAGAAGTCTACTTATCCATCAGAATGCTAATATATAA